CTCGATATATTTATGAATTTAATTATTTGTATATAAACATAAATTTATTTTTATATTTATGTGTACATAAAAAAACACAAACCCGGTACATATGGGGGTGAATAAATAAATAAATAAAAATGGGCATGCAGCGAAAAAATATTAATTTGATTCAAGTAAATATTTATTTGGATAATAGACAAGATTTTTTTCGATTAATTTACTTTATTTTCTTTTATTACATAAATTCTTATTACAATAAACACTCTTCTGCTTTTATAAGACTATTTTTACTATATAAATTTTGAATATATTTTCCAAAATTTTTGGTTTTTAAAATAACAATAATTTCGTATTTCTGCGATCAAATTAGGTGAATCAAAGCGATTTTTAAAGTTCTACAAGTTATTTATAAGACTTTAAAAGTTACTTCTAACACTTTAAAAAAAAAATTTCAAAAATAAGACTTTTTTACTATCTAAAAAAATTAATTGTAAAGTTTCTAAATGTAAAATTTGTTTTCTATTTTCGCATTGATTTAATTCATTTTAAATTTCATTTAATTTTAATTTACATAACTCAGTAATTGATGAAAATATTTTTTATAAAAAATATTTCGTTCAAAACTTGTGGACCATAAAAAAAAAAGTCGCTTTATTTTATTCATTCTAATTATTATTACTAGCAACAATTTGCGCGCGGCTAACTTTTTACTCACTTGTTTTGAAATAAAATTAGCAATTTTAAAACTGATAGAACGTAAAAGTTTTTAATATTCAAATTTATTTTCATAAAAATAAAATATGAATTTGAATATATAGTTTTAATATTATAACAATATTTTTAAAGTTGTTCATTTTCAAGATAAGGTTTTGAATTTGAATGTTTTGAAGAATTTTAATTCTTACGGAAAAATAATAATAATTAAATATTTATTTAAAAAAAAAGTTATTGATGTTTTTGCATAATTTTGCAATTACAAAAAATTCGCAAATCTTCTAAATCTTCTAAAATTAGTTAAATTTGTCAATATATATATATATTTAATTAATTATTAAAAATAATGTATTGAAAGAAAAATTTTAGTTAAAAACACTACAAAAATTGAATTCTGAAAAAGTTACAAAATGATTGCAGAAATTCGATTACTTTCAAAAGTAATAAAATTCTTATCACAAAATTCAATGTATGTTCAAAATTGAAAAAAAAAACTCGTCGAAATACCAATTATTATCTTCGTAAATAATAAAATTCTTCTTCAAAATTCAATTATTTTCAAAAATTTTAATAAAATTTTTATCAAAATTTCAATTATTCTCAAAAATTTTTCTCATTTCCATAATTTTCAATATCTCTACTATTTTAATAAAACTATACCCAAAAAAAATCAATTATTTTAAAAAATTCATTATTCGATAGTCAATTTTTTTCTCTAGCAAATAATTAAATTTCTTGACAACGGATATTTTTATGTATTTTTTATTTTATTGTTTTTTATTGTATTATGTATTTTTATATTTTATTAATTTTTTTAATATGTTTAATGTGTATTTTATTGTAAAATTGAAAATAAAAAATATATAAAATAATAAATAAACGGACTATAAATTAAAAAATTGAAAATAAATAATAAATAATTATAAATTATAAATTTTTGTAAATTATTAATTATATACTATGAATTATATTCGTATCTAAATATTTGTTTTTTTATTTATAATTATTTGTTTATTTATTGAGGGAAATATATACATATATATATACATGTATAGATGAAATTATAAAGGAATTAGTCACATGTGATATTTAAGTTTAAACGTTTCGAGAAAGGGAAGTTTCTCAATGTAATTGAATTTAGAACAGAATTTAAACTCGACTTATGAGACTGAGACTATAGATATGTATATATGTATTATATACATATATGTTGGCACAGAGTAATGAAAGTGCGCTAGTGTCACAAACTTGACTAGTAGAAAGTTACTCTTCTCCTTTGTTCCTCAACAGTATAAATATAGTTCCTATATCTTAAAAGTACAATTTAATGCACAAAATGGCAAAAAGTTTAAAAATAAAAATAATAATTTCTTCCTAGTCATCCGCACAAATAAAAAATACATATCAAAAGTTTTCTTCATAAACAAAAAATTTTAATAAGTTTCGTTAAAAATAAAAATATTTTTATCATATGTTTAATCAATAACAACTGCTAATAATTAACTAATTATTAACTATATTAATTTGAATGTTCTTTCATTCTTTCACTTTTTCTGTCCCTCACACTCTGAAGTTGTCTTCTATTTACATTTTTGTTTCTGTTATCTTTAGATAAATTGTATATTATATTATTACTAGAAAATTTTACGGGCGGAACGTGATATTCAATTTATTATTGTTATGCAAATTACAAATATTTTTAATCTTCAAATATAAATTTTTAAAATAATTTTATAATCAAAATTTAAAAAATCCACTTATTAAGTACAAAATTAATTATTACTGTTCATATTTTCTAAAATTTTAATAAATCCTTCGAAAAAATTCAATTATTTTTATAAATAGTAAAATTCTTCACAAGAATTAAATTATTTTTAATCAAATTTAAATAAAATTACATGAAAGAATTTAATTATATTCAAAAATTTCCATAAAATGCAATTTCAACAAGATTTTAAAATTCTCTAAAAATAATTCAATTATTCTCAAAATATTTTTAAAAAATTCTATATAAAAATTAAATTACTTTCAATGCAATTTTTAAATATATTCGTAAAAAAAATTGAAAGAATTCAATTATTTTCAAAAAAGTAATAAAATTCTTGTGATGAATTCAATGATTTTGAATATACATACCTAATTTTAATAAAATTCTTTAAAGAAATTCCATTATGTTCGAAACAACTTTAATTAAATTACTCGAAAAAATTTCATTATTTTAAAATATTTCTATAAAATTCTTCATAACAATTTAATTATTTCTTAAAATTTTTAAAAATTCTCGCGAAACATTTTAATTATTTTTTAAAAATAGTAAAATTTTTCTAAACAATATTCAATTATTTTTTTCAATAGTAAAATCTTGAAAAAAATCCAATGATTTTTAAAACAATTTTAATTGAATTCCTCGGATGAATTCAAATATTTTTAAATATTTCCATAAATTTCCATTATGTACAAAAATTTTAATAAATTCTTCGAAACAATTTTTATAAATAGTAAAATTCTCCGCAAGAATTCAATTATTTTCAATCCACTTTTAATAAAATTCTTCTTCATAAAATTCAATTGCTTTCAAAATTTTCAAATTAAAATTATTAAAGAAACTCCATTAGTTTAAAAAAAAATTCAAAGAAATTCTTCGAAAGAATTTGATTAGGATTTTAAAAAATTTTAATAAAATTCTTTAGCGAAAATTCAGTTATTTTCCTAAATAATAAAATTCTTTAAAGGAATTCTATTATCATCAAATTTTTTGATAAAATTCTTTGTAACAATTCGATGATTTTCAATATATTAATTTTAAAATTGAAAATATTTGAAAAGAAAAATTATAAAAAAGTTAATAATAATGCAATTTATTTTGCATTATTTTTGTTTATGAATCACAATTTTTTTAACAAAATTATTATTTTGTTTTAGAAAAAGAAGAAAAATATTTGCAAAATTCCTATTCTTTTAATCTTATTTTTGGAACAGGATTTTCCACAGGAATTAAGACATTAAAAAATTTCGAATTCAAATCTTTTTTAAATTAAACAACTTATAAAAGTATTTGTTATAAAATATGAAGATATCGATTGCTCCGAGTCGAAGACTCGGAATGATCGATTTCTTCATTTTTTATAATAATTAAAGATGACCAAGTAATAAAATCATTATTTTATATTATTATAAGAATATTGTTACTGTAACTTCATCAAAATTATTTTCATCATTTTAATTTAATTATTATTTTCTAGAATTTTAAATTATTTTTTATGAAAATAATTGAATTCCTTAAAAAAAATTTATTATTTATAAAAATAATAATTGAATTCCTGTGAAATTTTTATTATTTATGAAAATAATTAAATGTTTGCATACAATTTTATTAAATTTTTTTTTAAATAATTGAATTTTTTTGGGAAATTTTGTTAAAATAGTAGATATTGAAAATCATTGAAATTAGAAAAATGCATTTTATTTTTGAAAATAATTGATATTAGGACAAGAATTTTTTTGACATTTAGGAAAATAATTAAACTTTGGAGAAAAATTTTGTTACTTATAAAGATAATTGGGATTTTTACAAATTTTTTTTTTAAATTTTGTACATAGTTGAATTTTATAAGAAGAATTTTATTTATTTATTTTTTTTAAATAGTTGAATTTCTGAAATTATTTGTAATTTATCCTAAATTGAATTTTTTTTTAGTGTTTTCAACAAAAATTTGAATTCGAAAGTTTTCAAATTCTATTATTTTTAAAATTGCTAATTTTATTTAAAAAAGGTAGTAAGAAGTTAGCCGCGCGCTTTAGCGCGCGATTTGTTGCTAGTAATAATATAAAAAATGTTCTTTCATTCATTCACTTTTTCTGTCCCTCACACTCTGAAGTTGTCCTTTGTTTATACTTTTGTTTATTGTTATCTTTAATTTAAATTAAATTTAGATTTAATTTAATTTAGAATTTATTTAATTTAGAATTTATTTAATAATTTATTTAACGCAAATAAATTATATTTGGTTTAAATAAAAATTTTCTTATGCTTCTATTTATTCGTTGATAACCAATAATTATTGTTTGATAAAAATAATTTATAAAATTTTATTTTATTAATTTTTTTTTTTGGTGGGGGGTACTATCCGCCACTATAAATATAAAATGGAAAAAATAAAAAAAATCATTCAAATAATATTGCATAAGAAATTGGTGTTGAAATTTTCTTATAGAGATTTTTTTTTCTTTATTTATTATGTCAAAAATAAAATTTAATTTACAAACAAATTGTGACTGTGATTTTTTTCTTCTGTTTATTACAGATGTATGCAGCAGAAGGTTATAAACTTCAGGGAAGTAGAGAAACAAATATTAGACAGCATTTTAGGACCAAAAAGTTACGACGCTCGTATCCGTCCGAGCGGTATAAATGGAACAGGTGAATAAAACTTTTTTTTTTTATTACATTTCTTTTATAAATAATTTTCCTCTTATATAAATCAAAAACAGGTGTATAATAATAATTAAAGTGCAAGTATTCTAAGGAAAAAAAAGAGCCGCAAAAAAAATATCTAAGGAATTCTACGATTTTTTTTTCGTTTTTTTTTTAGTAGAGAGAAACTTTTTTTATTTCACTTAATATCAAAATATTTTTAGTAGAGAGAAACTTTTTTATTTGACTTAATATCAAAATATTTATTATCTTGATTGCAAATAATTTTTATTTATAAATTTTTTAATCGAATAATTTCGTATCAAATATTTAATATTTAAACTTGATGACAAATGTTTGTTATCGACAAATAATTGTATTACTATATTATTAGCGTCGTAGGAAAAAAATTAATAACGAAAAATTATTTGTTGATAACTAATTTCATAATTATAAAGTATTCATAAATTAAATAATTATTTGTAGATAACTAATAATTTTTTGTTGATCTCTGGGTGTAATTATTTGTTGATAACTGATAATTATTTGCTGATAATTAATAATTATTTACAAATAATAATTACTTGTTGATAACTAAAAAAATATTTGTTTATAACAAATAATTATTTATTTATATAAGAAAAATTGTTGAAGATAAAAATTACTGTTTTTATTTTAATATATAAATATTCGAAATGAATTCTAATTGAATCAAGAATTTGTTTGCAATGTGTAGAATATAATTAATTTACATAAAAAATTATTAGATCGGTATTTACTTTAAAACTTATTTATTTAAATTTACTTTAAAGATTATTTAATAGAATTTACGTTTAAAACTATTTAATTGAATTTACTTTAAAAGTAATTTGATTGAATTTGGTTTAAAAATTATACGATTGAATTTAATTAAGAAACTATTCGATGGAATTTACGTTAAAAATTTAATTGATTTTACTTTAAATATTATTATTTATCATTGAGTTTAGTTAAAAAAATACTATTTTGATTGAATTTTGCTTTAAAAATGATTTGATTGAAATAGATATTTATTTATTACTCTATAAGGAGGTTCGAGTGTATACTTTTAAACTGACCACTTAGGAATTATTTACATAAAAAAAAAGAAAACGTACTGTTAAAATCAATTTAAAATTTAATCTTAAGCTGCTTTGTGGTTTATGATCGTTTTTTTTTATACACCTTTCTTTTATTAATGAGTTTTTAAAATGTTTTTCGGTTGACAAATTGAAACTGCGTGACGGAGAAAAAAAATCGTGCGTCAATAATCGAAAAAAAATTCATTTATCACGCAATCTTTGCGTTCAATCCGTTTTTTGGGGTGGTAATCGCACAATTTGAACAAGCTCAGCCACTTTGAATTGCTGACTTGCAGAAAATTAATGTTTTCTTTTCTTTTATTTTTCAATCACTTTTATTAAAAGTGATTATAAAAATTCTAAAAATGCAAAATAATAAATTTAATCTGAAGTTCAATTTTTTAGGTTTTTTTTCTATTTGTTTTCTATACGAATGGAAAAATATCTAAATTCTCGCTTCTAGTTTTTGTGGTTACGGTTCAAAATTTATATGTCCAATTCTTTTTTTTTATAATTATATTAAAATGTTATTCTTTTTTCATTTATAAATTTTACATCTATCGTGTATAATTGGTTCGTGGTTTTTTATCAGCAAAACAATATGGAAAATAAAATAGAACATTAATTTTGTAGTAGGAAAAAAAAAAGTTTTTTTTGAACCATACAAAAACAAATTATTTGACTACTGGAATAAAAAAAATTATGCAAAATTTGGTATCAATTTGATACATTTTAGTTTGAATTCGATACATAGTTCGGTATGAATTTGATTATAGTTTGGGTATTAATTTAGTACTTTTGGTATCGATTCGATTTTCTTTTGTTATCAATTTGGCACTTTTTGGTATTTATTTAATACTTTTTTATCAATTTAATTTTGGTATCAATTTGGTGCTAATTTAATACTTTTGGTACTAGTTTGGCACTTTTAGTATCAATTCGATAACTAATTTAGAACATTTGGTAACAACTCAATAATTTTTGGTTAAAAATTGGTACTCATGGCATCGTTTTGGTACATTTTTGTACTAATTTAATACTTTTGGTACCAGTTTGATAATTTATGGTCGCAAAATGTGATACTCTTTGGTAGCAAATATTGTTACTTTTGGTATTAATATAATATTTCTAACATTAATTTATTACTTTTTAGTTCCAATTTGGTACCAGTTTGATAAATTTCATCTTAATTTGGTTCTTTTGGTATTGACTTAACACTTACGGTACAAATTTGGTACTTTTTGTATTAATTTGATATTTTTCTTAAAAAATAGACAATTTTTGGAACATATTTAGTTATTTTTGGTATTAATTTGACTAAATTTTTATACCAAATTAGTACTTTTGTATAAATTTGGTACTTTTTGTACCAAAATTTAATGCTTTTGGTACCATTTTGATAATGTATGGTCACAAAATGTGATACTTTTTGGTATCAATTCAATATTTTTTCGTAGCAAATTGTTACTCTTGGTATTAATTTCATGCTTTTAATATCAATTTATAAACGTATAGTTCCATTTTGGTATTAATTTGATAAAATATGGTCTCAATTCGGTACTTTTGGTATTGATTTAACACTTTCGGTACCAATTAGGTACTTTTTTTTGCATTAATTTGATCCTTTTGGTACAGACTGATAATTTTTTTATCACCAATTTGTACTTTTTGGTAACAATTCGATATTTTTGTACATATAAATTTGGTACTTTCTAGTGTTAATTTCATAGTTTTGTATCAATTGGATAATAATTGGTGACATTTTTGTACGTTTTGGTATCAATTCAATAATTTTTGGTACCAAATTGCTATACTTTTGGTATTAATTTAATACTTTTAATATTAATTATTATTTCCAATTTGGTACCCGTTTAATAATTTTTTGTCTCAATTTGGATCTTTTCATATTGATTTAACACTTTCGGTATTAATTTGTACATTTTGTATTAATTTTATCCTTTGGTGTCAATTAGACAATTTTTGGTACAAAATTTGTTCTTTTTCTTATCAATTAACTAATTTTTTTATACCAAATTGGTACTTTTGCAATAATTTGGTACGTTTTGTAGAAATTTAATACTTTTGGTACAAGTTGATCACATAATGTGATATGGTCATAAACGATAAAATTTGATACTTTTTGGTACCAATTCAATATTTTTTGTTACCAAATTGGTACTTTTGGTACTAATTAAATACTTTTAATATTATTTTTATTAATTTTTTGTTCAAATTTGGTACTGTTTTGATAATATTTGGTCTCAATTTAGTACTTTTGGTATTGATTTAATACTTTCGGTACCAATTTGATAGGTTTTGTATTAATTTAAATTTTTTTGGTAGGGGGTTGATAATTTCTGGTACAAACTTATTTATTTTTGGTATCAATTGACTAAATTTTTATACCAAATTAGTACTTTTTGTAATAATTTAATACTTTTAAAGTTTTAATATTAATTTAATAATTTTTGGTTTTAGTTTGGTACTTTTGGTTCGAATTTATTACTTGTCGTACCAGTTATTTAATTTTTTGTCTAAATTTGGTACTTTTTGTTATTGCTTCAACACTTTAATTTTTAAAAAATTAATCAAAAATAGTAGACCAAAATGTACCAAATCGTGTATCGATTTGGTACTTTTTGGTCTACTATTTTTGCCTAATTTTTTTTTTGAAATAATTAAATTTTCAAATTAAATAATTGAAATGTTTCCAAATAAATTAAAACAGTGAAATTTTTATTGAACTGTAAATAAACAGTAGTTTTTAGCTCTAAATACAGAAAAAAATCGTTCCGAAAATAGAATTTAATTGATTTACATTAACAAAAAAAAAAAAATTATTTATCCAAGTAACTATATTTATCTGTCAATGGTAAAATAATCGATATTACTTGGTTGAAATAATTTTTTCTTCAGTTTATAATTTGTATATATACATATATACATTTATGTATATTGGGAGGGCATAAATCGAATGAAGCAAATCAAATGACTCGCTCTTGCGCTGTTACAATTTATACAATCGGGTACTTAGTGATTCGCGAAGTTGAAAATTATGCTATAGGGAGAGTTTCAAGTAACGAGAGAGAGAGAGAGAGAGAGAATGTAACCCTTCGTGGCCCTGATGTATATAGTCATATATGTCGCAACAGTGTGTTCGCTCGTGTAATGCATTTATGCGCATATAATGTGCCTACATCTACCGCCACGACTCGAGTCGAAACTTCACCCCCTCCCCTCCCCCCCTTTGCCCCCTCACCCAACCCCCTTCAACTCACATCACCCTTATCGTAAGCCAGGCCTTCGTACATATTATACAAAATCATAGGGCACATTATACCAGCTTGTACATATTATATTTGAGATAACGAGCTAAAAAAAATTGCGCACGCAGATCATGGCTATATAAACATTCACTTCCCAACAGTCGAAGAAATTAGAAATTTTATTTTTCACTTTTTAGGAAATCAGAATTATTTATTTTCTAATTCAAATTTATTTCAATTGGAATTTATTACTATCGGAATTTATTTGAATTGAAATTTATTTAAATCCTCCACCCACTTATAGTCGAGGAAATAATTTTTTATTTTTAACGAATAATCAGAATTTATTTAAATCAAAATTTATTTAAATCGAAATTTATTTGAATCAAAAATTTATTTGAATCAAAATTTAATTGAATAAAAATTTATTTAAATCCTCCACTCTCTCAGAGCTGAAGAAATAATTTTTCACTTTTTAAGAAAATCAGAATTTATTTTCAATTACACAATTTATTACAATCAGAATTTATGTGAATCAAAATTTAATTGAATCGAAATTTATATTTAAAAAATAAAATTATATTTTAATCAAAATTTTTTGTAAATCTTCCACCTTCTCATAGCCGAAGATATAATTTTT